TAAGCGACCGGTCGCTAGCTTCCTGCGACCGGTCGCAAAGAACTGGCGACCGGTCGCTCGTTGATGTTGCTCCAGACTTCGAATCTGCTTCAAAACGACCGGTCGCAAATGCCTAGCGACCGGTCGCTTTTAGGCAGATTCAAAATCTTCCTTTCAGCGCCAAAACCAACCTTGTATCCTTAGGTGAGCCGGTACTAGGGTTAGTTGTTAACCATCAGTTAGGCTATGGTTAGTTGAGAGTTGGGTAGGTCAACTCTATATTAACGAAGTGAGTCTGTATTGAGGAGTTAGTTGAGAAATTGTATCTTGTTCTTTGTGAAAGAAATAATATCATTGTTCTTGAGATATTGAGTTAAGGTAGAAAGCAGGTTCAATCACCGATTTTGTGTCAATATTTCCATGAAAATCGATTTTTAAAACCGGAGGTGATAAAAGGGATGATTTGAACTTATAGAGCCCTTAACAAAATTACAGCTAGGGTATATCAACAAGGCTCTTAATCCCCTTGACTTCATATTCTCACAGGTAAATTATTATTACAATATATGAAAATACATTATTATTTGTAACTATATTAAGATTGAATGATTATTACCTACTTAGAGTCAAAGATCACAGCTATTGGGCTAGTAACATTATGCTTATCAGAAACCCATCTTAAATACCCCTGACCAAATGCTACACCATCCTTGCCAGCACCATCTTCTGCAATAAACTCCACATGGTATGTAATCTCCTGGTTGACCTCTGTGAATGTAAGTACCTCAGGATTCACACTCATGCCCATTTTATGTGGTACAAGAAGATCCAAGTTGTAAGTTGAACTAGCCGGGCCGACATTCCTCACGGTCCTTGTATAATACTGAGACTGAGACTCATTGGACCCTATCTTAATAGAAAATGAAGGATAATTGAGCTGTGCTTCTGGTATGACCCCGACTTGAGAGCAGTTCACTTTTTGTTGGGTGATGATCTGTATCTCTTTTTCTGTGTAATTCAAACCACACAAGTAAGGAATGTAATCCTTAGGTTGTGTGTCGTAGATGAGCCCTGGGTCATTTGCTTTTGTAGGGTTAACATGGCCTGCACCGATTGCAAATACGTCCGCGCGATTAAGTCTTTGATCAACAATGGGCAACCCTGCAAGGTTCAGTACATTGGCGCTTGTCATGATGGCAGATTTGATTGCAGCTGGTGACCAGTCAGGGTGAGAGCTCTTGAGCAAGGCTGCAATGCCACTTAAGTGAGGAGTTGACATTGAGGTACCCGAAATTATGTTGAATGTTGCGTTAGACTTTGTGGCATTGTCCACAGAAACAGGCCATGCAGCTAGGATGTCAACACCTGGTCCAATGATATCAGGTTTCAGAATTCCAGGGCTTGCAGTATTTGGTCCTCTTGATGAAAAGGTAGCGACCTTTGGAGCGAGTGGATCTGATGCGGCGCCATTGAACAAGATTGTGGATGTAGGTGTTGAGGTTAAGTTTAATATTCTGTCTGTGGTGCTTGCTCCAACAGTGAGAATCCATGGAGCCTCATTTGATAAAGAACCATGGTAAGGACCAGAGTTTCCAGCTGCACAGCTGACAAAAATTCCCTTCTGAGTTGCTCCAAATGCACCAACTGCAATCACATCCCCATAGAAAGGAATCGAGGGACCGCCAAGTGAGAGGGAGAGCACGTCCACGCCATCTTCAACAGCAGCATCCATTGCCGCCAAAATGTCACCTTCAGCACAACCAAAGTCGCAGACTCTGTAAATGGCCAAGTGAGCATAAGGTGCCATGCCAACAGCTGTGCCATTCGCCACTCCAAATGCGCTTGCGCCTTCCACAAAATTTCCAGCAGCTGTGCTAGAAGTGTGGGTGCCATGGCCATCTTGGTCAAATGGAGCGCTCCCTGTAGGTTTCCCTTTGCTTGAGCCTATGAAATCTTTCGCACCGATAAGTTTTTTATTGCACAATGTCGCATTGAAGTCACATTTGCCTTTCCATTTAGCCGGAGGAGGGGATACTCCTTCATCACTAAATGAAGGATGATATGGTGCAACACCAGTATCCAAAACTCCAATGATAACGCCTTCACCATAGTTTGTTTGTTCCCAAAGTCCCGACCCTTGGTGTAAACCCAAGAAGTCAGGACTATGAGTAGTCTGCAAAGGCAGAATTCTCTCGGGATGAGCTGACACAAACCCTTCTTTCTTTTCCATTGCCTTTACTTCCTCTGGCATCAGTTTTGCTGCAAACCCTATGGCCACATTACGGTATGTATGAACCATTCTTTGCTTCATCAGCTGGTTTGAGTTTTCACTGGTTTCAGACAAAAATGACTGATACCAACTCTCCAGGTCTTCATGAGATTGTGCAAAAGAATTCTGGGACACCGGCTTTTCAACCCAAATGATATATGTTTGCAGATTGTTTTGCTCCTCTTGTGCAATTGCGAGTGATAAATAAAACATGAAAGTTAAACCAACAAGATATATAACCTGCAATGCCATACCCTTTTCTGTCTCCATCTTTAATTTGGTTAAAAGGACTTGTAAGTCCTAGTGGTTTGTGTGAGTCTACCATTTCAAGCACCTACATATAGTAGACAGCAAGAGAGGTTGAACAATATCATTGTTCGGTCAAGTCAAGAAACATTGGCCTGCATTTCTTGTAATTTTGAATGCTTACCTGTTGCAAGTATGAGTTTTGTAATATTTATATATACAGGACCTGGTAATCCTCGTCAAGCTATAACAAAGAGGTGAGTTGGTGCCAACTGGTTTATATATCATTCCTTTTAAAACCTGAATGATATCAATTCAGTAATGTCACAGATTAAACACGAGCAATAAAAAATAGTTCAATTAATTCTTGACAAAATGAATTTTCAAGCTGGCCCTGCACTACTGTACTTGGGCCAGAAGAAAAACAAATGAATCATTTGTTTGAAAAATTTGTATGTGCTGCAGATTGCTTGAAGCTCTTTTAGATTTGTATACAATGCCTAAAATAAAATAAAAAAACAAAAAAAAAACTATAGTTTATGCCATTATTATGGTAGTGCTTCACACAAAGTTAGTTAGCTTCTGGAAAGATAACACAGAGAAGAAACTGATAAAACCCAAGTGCTGTTTCCATTGGCAAAATTTTCTATCATTGGAGAACTGTATTAACAAAATTGACAGCTAAAGTACAGTCATCTTCAGTAGCAAGGATCTTAATAGCCCTGAATTTACTATGTTCATTATTATTAGATCACGCATTATTTTTTTGATAATTGGAGGAGGGCTGAATTCGAACCGGAACCTCTTTCGCCATTCTGTAGATACATTATTTTACATACATCTAGTTGTAAGTTTACTTAGACTCAATGACCACAGCTATTGGGCTAGTAACATTATGCTGATCAGAAACCCATCTCAAGTATCCCTGTGACCAAAAATCATCCTCTCCAGCAGTAGCACTGTCAAGTGCAAGAAACTCCACCTGGTATGTAACGGTCTGGTTAACCTCTGTGAATGTGAGCACTTGAGGATTCACACTCATCCTCGTTTTATTTGGTACTAAGAGATCCAAGTTGTAAACCGAATTAGCTGGGCCAACGTTCTTGACAGTCCTTGTATAATGTGCAGACTGAGTCCACAGCTTGTGACTTGAACTCACAAAAATAGAAAATGAAGGATAATTTAGCTGAGTTTCTTCTATGGCTCCAACTTGAGAGCAGTTCACTGTTTGTTGGATGAGGATACGTATTTGTTTCTCTGTGTAGTTTAAACCACACAAGTAAGGAATGTAGTCCTCTGCTTGTATGTCGTAGATGAGGCCTGGGTCAATTGCTTTTGAAGGGTTAACATGACCTGCACCTATTGCAAAGATGTCTGCCGGCCTAAGCCATTCATCGACAATGGGCTTGCCAACGAGGTTTAGTACATCCGCGGTTGTCATGATTGCAGATTTAATTGCAGCTGGTGACCAGTCAGGGTGTGAGCTCTTAAGCAAGGCTGCAATGCCACTTAGGTGAGGACATGACATTGACGTACCCGAAATTATGTTAAATGTTGCCTTAGATGTGGCATTGTCCACAGAATAGGGCCATGCTGCTAGGATGTCAACACCGGGTCCAATGATATCAGGTTTTAGAATTCCAGGGCTTGCAATGTTTGGTCCTCTTGATGAAAAGATAGCGACCTTTGGAGCGAGTGGATCTGATCCGGAGCCTTTGGACAAGTTTGTGACTGTAGGTGTCGAGGTTAAGTTTAATATTCGGTCAGTGGTGCTTGCTCCAACAGTGAGAATCCATGGAGCCTCATTTGATAAAGAACCATATTCAGGACCATCATTTCCAGCTGAACAGCTGACAAAAATTCCCTTTCGCATTGCTCCAAATGCGCCAACGGCAATCAGATCAACATAGAGAGGAACTGAGGGACCGCCAAGTGAGAGGGAGAGCACGTCAACGCCATCATCAACAGCAGCATCCATTGCAGCCAAAACGTCAGCATCAGCGCAATCATAGGCGCCACAGACTTTGTAAATTGCTAAGTGAGCATAAGGGGCCATGCCAGATGCTGTTCCATTGGCCTGTCCAAACAAGCTTGCACCTTCCACAAAATTTCCTGCAGCTGTGCTAGACGTGTGGGTGCCATGGCCATCTTGGTCAAATGGAGCACTCCTTCTAGCTTTCCCTTTGCCTGCGTCTATGAAATTTTTTGCACCAATAAGCTTGTTATTGCAGATTGTTCCGTTGAACACACATTTGCCTTTCCATTTATCCGGAGGAGGGGATACTCCTTCATCACTAAATGAAGGGTGATCAGGTCCAATCCCAGTATCCAAAACTCCAATTATCACTCCTTCACCATAGTTTGTTTGTTCCCAAAGTCCCAATCCTTGGTGTAATCCTAAGAATTCAGGACTATGAGTAGTGTGCAAAGGCAGAGTTCTCTGTAGATGAGCTGACACAAACCCTTCTTTATTTTCCATTGCCTTTACTTCCTCAGGTGTCAGTTTTGCAGCAAACCCTGTGGCTACATGGCGGTAAGCATGAACCATCCTTTGCTTCATCAGCTGGTTTGAGTTTGCACTAGTTTCAGGCAAAAATGATTGATACCAACTCTCCAAATCTTCATGAGGTTGTGCATAAGAATTCTGGGAGACCGGCTTTTCAACCCAAACAATATAAGTTTGCAAGCTAGTTTGCTCCTCTTGTGCAACTGCTATTGATAAATAAAACATGAAAGTTAAACCAAGAAGATATAGCACCTGCACTAATGCTATACCCTTTTTGTTCTCCATCTTTAATTTGGTTAAAAGAAGAACTTGGAAGCTCAAGCGGTTTGCGCTAGTCTACAATTTCAAGCACATACATATAGGCCATAGTACATAGCAAGAGAGGTTGATTCAACATGGGATTTGAAGCAACATTGGCCGGCATTTCTTGTCAGGTTTGAAGGTTGAGTTTGCTGTGACAAATGGGAGACTTTTGGACTATGTATCTTCACATGACTTTGTAATGCTCACTGAGTTTCTCACAAGTGATGGCGATGGACCTTATGTCATATTATAGATTATTATGTTATATTTTCCTATTTGGATCGGTGCACTAGATACTAAGTTATATCAAGTTTGGTAAGAGTTTAAATTAAGTCGTACCTTGAGGCCCAAAACCTTGTGGAATAAGGAAGGGTTTTGAGGCCTATTAAGGAGTCCTAATTTGTTTCCTTTTGCGTGAACCGATTAAGTGGGCTTGGAAGATTAGTCAAGTCGGCCCTCGGTGATGAGTAGAGACGACTTGACCTAGCCCTATATAAGCTTAAGGCCCTGCTCTCATCAGACACGTTCTCTAAACCTGTTCTCATCATAAAGAGAGAGCTGAAACAGATTCTGAGAGAGAGCAGAAGTCTTGAGCTGTTCTTGTTCTTGCTAGGGTTGCTGCTGCTACAGGTTAGATGAGTTCAGAAGCTGTGTACTCAAGGAAGTTGGCTCCAGGTATGTCTTCATGTCTTTATACGTATTACATATTTGTGTGAAAGATCTAGATTATATATAACTATAGAAATCTAACAGTTGGTATCAGAGCTTTTGGTTGTTCACACATACCTGTAATCGTTGTTCAAGCATGCCTAATTTGTTTACATATCTGGTTATGTTGTATGATTTTTGGTTATGTTTAATTTTTGAAGATTGATTAAACATGTTTTCTGAAATATCAAGAGTTTTAAAGAATTTGGAAAAAACATGTTTTGATTCGGTTTTCATATTTTCAAAACTTTAAACACGTTTTTGACCTAGTAGATCACCTTAAAAGCCTAAAAATGCCTATATGTCACAGCAAGCCTGTGAGTTCTGTAAGTTAGGTCATTCCCTATTCAGAAAGGTATTTTGCGTTAAAAACAGACACCAAAAACCCCTAAAACACTGTTCACGACAGTTTTACTGTTCACTGCAATTTTTTTGGGTTTTCCTTATTGAACTGTGCTTTGTTTTGGTTATTTTTGAGCTAGATAGATGTTTGCTTTGTTCTGAGAATCAACAAACTTTTCATAACAAAACCAAACCTAAAAACTCAAACCCTAAAGAAATAATCAGAAATTGCATTATACATAAATTGCTTGGTAAGTTTCTTCAACAAATAGAATCTATCCAGTAATTTATTTGTGATGGCACAAGATAACATGTAATTTGTGTAAGCTATAAGTAATCTCTTGCCACAAAGGTGTGATACTTAATTAAGGACGCTTGCATGTATTATTTGTTAGTTTTGTGAATGAAGTTAAACTGGTTTCTCTTAACAAATTGAGAATCGGTTTTTAGGAAAGTAATATGTAACATGCTTTCGTTTGCAAATCCTTACAGTTTTGAACACTCCCTCAATCAATTTCTCGCAAATTGAAACACTCACTAGTCAAACTTCAAAAGATGGAAGTTTGATTTTAAGGATATTCTCGGAATGAATGAGATCAATTATGATTTCACTCATGTTCTTTGTTTCGTTTATGCGTCCTATCAAACGACTCCAAAAGTTTGGGAAAAAAGAGAAGCATTTGGCTTTTAATAGGTGTCACTCGTGTCAACTTGTCACGAATGGTATTCTAGTAAAGAATATAGTAGAGCTA